TCTGCAGCCGATAGGTTTTCCCCAGCGCGAAAATGATGAAATAAAAGCTTGCAATTAGCACCTAAGGTCTTTTGACTGTTGCCCGTAGCAGCGCTTCACGGTGCCAATGTCAGACTATTTCTATTTGAGACGATAAACCCCGGGTGCATTGCAATTGCAGGACTATGTTGTTTTCAGTAGATGAGGCATCGATTCATGGAAGCCGGTCTTTACCCCCTCCTCGCCCTCCAAAAAAGAAAACGAATGGCTGGATCCACGCTGAGCTGTGCAGCGCTGCCCTCCACAGTCACAGACAGTGTTGGTTTGGTCCTCGTTCCCCTGTCGCTTTGTCCCTGTCCTCGGTAGACAGGTCAGCAGCCTAGCAACATTTTATTGTGGAGAATGTCGGATGAGGCAAAGGGCGACGGTAAAAAGGGCAAGAAGGGCGCAGGACGGAAGCAAAAAGCCAGAATGTTGATAATGACTGTCGTAATGGGGACGTCAAACGCGGACCAATGGCCCACTTTCAGGCGTTTGTTGCGTGAGCGCTGGCCTCGCCATCCCATGGTGAAATTCCGGGTCAACGGCAACATTTTGCGGCGAAAGCTTAACGTGCCACAGTGCTCGGCACGATCAGTCGCACCCTGTGACGTCACCCGACCGGGACATCTCCAACTTCCTTCCAGTTATTTTTAACCTCTTCAACAGATGCTTAGGAATCTTGGCGGGGGTTTCAGGAATAGTGGTACGTTTAAGATCATCATAAGTGCAATCGGATGTGAGATGATAATGACATGTTTTCATACACAACCATTCGTAGCGAACTTCTTCCAAACAACTTCAGCAATGATTAAGTCTTCGGTAATTATCTAACCCGCCGTATCGAAGGCGTAATCTCCCACATAGGAAGGCTCAGACAATTTTTGCACCGTTTGCAGAACTTACGCTGCAAAGGAAAGGGACGTTTTCAATATGTCCAAATAACGACCCACATATTTCAAGGAAACTGTACGGTAAACTGGAAATAGTGCGTCACAGTCAAGTGGCCGCTTTCAAGAGTTGTTCGTGCCTTCTGATAAATTTCTGAAGTGTTCGTCTAAAAAGTCGGTTTCACTTTCACAATGAACATCAGTTTCTGCTGCATGGCCCACCCAGTAAGTTGTTAACTACCGTTCACACATTCAAACTCGCCAAGAAAAAAACGGTCGAGAAAGCTTTCCAGGCACCAATTTGATTGATACCGATTAGAATCATTAGTTCCCATGTTAAACCAATGAGAGTTCCACACCAGTGCTTTTAAATTGGGATATTATGGGCCCGCAAGACCAGGCAAAGAGAGTAGCTGTATTCACCGAGACCGTGATACGACGTGACCGTCTGTTCGGCTTTAAGGAAGTGCCCAAGGTTCCGCAACAAAGTATGCTTGATCCCATGGGTGTAGCCACTGGGGAAGGTTGACGGGGAGCAGGGGCGAATCCAGAGAGGGAGGGGCATGAGGCTATGACACTCCTTGGGCCTCCATGAAATCTCGGTGCCCCGAAAGGACACCAAGATCTCACTGTGAAGAGGCACCAAACCTGCATTTCAAAACCACATGCCTTTGACTTGCAAGAGGCTCCGAAGTTCCAGAGGCACCGCAAATGACACCAAATCTTCATTTCCGAAAAAAACAAATTCTAAGGGAGCCAGCGGTTCCTGCAGTGTCCCTGCCCCTGGCAGAACACTTACAGGCGGTGGTGTGCCACTGGTTCAGCGAGAGGGCTCCTGCATGGCCTGGAGAGAGTGACAGGAGTGACAATGACATTTAGACGCGGCAGTCTGCAGCGAAAGCGACCAGTGTGATTCAGTGAAAGGAGGCGGCAATTAGTGGTATTGTAGCTCATTCCAGAGATTCCAACATTTTGTAAAACGAATGAGTTGGGTTATCAGAAGCCTGAGTGACCACTAAGAAGGTAATGAGGGAAAACTTACGATGAAGACGTTGACACTGCCAAGTAGCAAGATAATTGGATGAGAACACAAATATTGTTACCCCACCTCGTCCCATGACGTGTCAATTGGCGGGCTCTTTCTTCATGGCGATTAGTTTGGTTTCATGGCGTTGCGCCGGCCGAGTTCAATGGCGGCGGCCACACCGAGGGAAGCGCAGCCGACCGCTATCAGAGCAACGCTGCAGGCGGATCGCTGCGCCAAAAGAAGCCCATTTCAACAAGGACCTGCCAACGGAGCACCTATTGCCGGCTGTACCCGGCTGCTCGGTCTGGTCGCGCCGGGGACCAGACCTTGCCCAGACCAGACCTGGGACCGAGGTTGGGGCAGCCAAGTGATCGAGGTCGTCCCGTCCAGAGTCGCCGTGTGCAGACCCGCCCATGGGTGACCTGAACGCCGCAGCCGGACAATAACTCAGCGACACTGGCTGAACTGGCGGCCCCTTTGTACAGCGCCCGCCTTAAAATATGTCATACCAACCGCGATGACGGTACGGTTAAGATTCCACGGGGCTCCGTCAAGCTCGTTTTGGGCCCGGTCCCTAACATCATGCGCAGCCTTGTCCCTGAGGCACAGCACGAGCTATTCGCACGCAATTTGTCCCATCCGCGTCCCGCATAATATCGCTCTCACGGAAGCTTTCCGCCGCTTACATGACGACAAGCAAGGGAAACCTTTCGCATTGAGAAAAGAAGCATACGCTTTTTCTTCACTTTGTCATTCACGTGGTGAAGCCTCGTGCTTATCGTGGGTAATCAAGAACTGGTTTCATTACAATGGAGAGGTTTTCTCTCTCATGCGTGATATCGCTTGCCACACCTTTTGTCTTATGCCTCAAGTTACATCATGGAGGAACTTCCGCTTAATCGTTCGCAATCCTCGGCCGGCGGCTATGCAGCCCGGCCAGCCGCCATCCACGACGTCTCAGACCTCCCGCCCGTTACCCTCCTGCTCCTTTCATAGTGAAACAGCTCCGCCTTCACACTTAGAGGCTGCTATCACAAAATCAGATATCGTCGCTGACGCCATACCGCTTACACGGATGTCGCCTTGGTTCACCACGAGCTAATTGTATAAAAATTCACGGTAGAAAATCGTCCTCAACTTCAATTTTATCTTTATGTGTATTCTGAAAGTTCCTTTTGATAGAGTGATTTCAAACTGAGCGAACAATATGGTGTACAATTCGCTCTAGAACAAGATCATTTCAGTTGAGAGGTTAACGACGATCCTCCCCCCCCCCCCCCCAGAATAAGAGGAGGCTCGTACGCTATACCCAGGACATTTAGCATGGTCTGGAGACAAGAATGCGGTTTGGAAAGATGAGTTCGGGCTGTGCACGGGGAAACGACTTAAACCTTTACCACGGGTTCACAAAAGACATGTTTCTTCTCCAACGGAGAGATCTTCACTACACCTTACTCTCTCAGAATGTTTCAACCAACCATTATCCCTCTGAAGTGCTGGTTCAAAAAGTCACACAAAAAGTTGTGAAGGCCTGCTGCCATACTTTTCATCTCGACTAACCCTTCGCCGTGTTCTGCAGCCTAACGACGACATCGACGATTCCACTTCTCGGGAAAATCATTAAAATGTCAGAATGGCAAAAATACCATGCCACGCCATTCTTCTCCACCTCCTCGCTTGATCGTCCGGCGCCCATCGGCCCGAGCCGGACCGTGTGGAGCGTCATCTGAGACGACCCCCTTCGTCTGAGCCGAGCCCCGAGCCGTGTCGAGCCAGCTGCCACAGCGTTTGAGCCCAGTGCCGATGTGCCGGGCGCGTGCCGTGCAGCGCGGCCGCCCGGCGCGGCAGCCGCTGCCAGCCGACCGGGGCAGCTCGGCGCCGCCACAACACGGCGTCGCGGCCGCCGGCGAACCGGTCCGCCGGCCCCGGCGGCTTCCAAACCACCCGCCAGCGGTCCTCAAACCGCGCGGCGGACGGGCCGCGGCGGTCGCGTGACCTCTGGCGACCGGCAGCCAATTGACGGGCGCCGCCTTGTGGCGTGACCTGACCTGACCGCTGACGTCACAGGCGCGCGTCGGGCGTGGGGCCCTGCCCTTCTCGCAGGTGCCACGCTGTCCCGGAGATCGAAGCGGAAAAGGAGGTCGGTGACTCGTATCTATGGAGAATTTCCACCAGCCCGGCGGGGTGGGCTAGCGGGCAGCAGCAGCCACACTTCAGCGCTTCATCGCTGTGTGCCGAACCACTCGGCGCCAGTGGCCACCGACCCTGCGCGAGCGGTCGGGGCGCCACAGACGGACCGGCAGCTCGGGAGACGGGGCCGGGAGCGCCCGAGCGCTGGGAATGTGAGCGGCCGTGCCTGGCGGCTTGCGAGTCGGCCTGCTTGCGTCACGGCGCTCGGCGCGGGTGGTGCGGCCACGCAGCGGTGGCGACACCTCTGTTGTGACTGCCGGGCGGCACGCCTCTCACGGAAGGGGATAGTGAGTCAGGTCCCGACGACTGGCGCCAGCGCCGAGCTGATGAAGAACCAGACACAATACTGAGAAAGGCTTGGGACGGCGCGTTCATGTCACTGGGTCCTGGGTCCCACCTCTCGCGCCAGGGAAATCTTGTCCCTGTGGTCGTAGCCACGCTCCAGCCCCAGCTTCCGCCGGTGGTACGACAGACAGCGCATCAACAGCTCAGGCTGCCGGCCGTCAACATACAGAGCAGACACCGCGCAGACGCCGCCCACGCACGCTACCGAGGCAGGGCCCCCACCGCTACAGCATTCCGGCTTCGTCCCCCAAGTCCACCTGGCTTGTACCATACTGGCCGCCCGTCCCGCATCGGGCCGGTCACTTCCTTACCTAGAGCGGGCGGGCGTCTCGGCGCTTGGGGCGAGCAGCTGCGGTGCGGTCCACCACCTGACACCAGCAGGCGGGGCGTGCGACTGACTGCGGCGGCCGGCCGCTTGCCGCTCGCTCGCCACCAGGGGCGCCGCCAGGCAGGCTGGACCGGCCGGCGGCGGCGCGGCGCGCGCGCTCCGCCGCCGCCGCCGCAGGTGACGCGGCGGGAGACTCAGCGGACGAGGGGGAGGCTCGGCCAGTGTGGGGTGGCCGTGGTGAATTGTGTGCTGAAGGGCCCGAACCGAACGTGGACGACCGTCGCGCCATGCGCTTGGAAACGCTCCTGAGCGTACCAGGTGAGTTGCTCAAACCCGTTCACCGGCGCGTGCATTTTTTATCCGGGTAAGGTCGAGCCAGGTGAGTCAGTTCAGTTCTGCTCTTTGTCAGCTGTTCCCTGCACTACCACGGACCTGGAACATTAACACCGCAACACAACCTGAACTCACGCACCTGCCGCCTACGGACCGGTACCTGGAAATGCAAGGCTGCTAAGAAGTCTTCAAAAATATTTGAGGGTATTATACGTGTGCTGTCGGTGAAAGCTGGGACCTAGCCTGAGATGAACATCTGGGTGTCTGTCTGGCCGGATGTCCGGGCAAGATCCGGTGCCCGGCTGCGGTACCACTGACTTACAAATACCCGATCGAAGGCGCTCGGCTGGCGACGACACCATCCGCGCCGTTTCCCTTATCCCGCCGCATGAAGAGACAGACCACCGGAGCCGCGAAACGCGCTTTGCCTAATGCTAGCACATCGAGAGGACGCCGTGGTGTCAACTACAACGGGAACAAAGCCGCGTGAACGACCGAGATGAACGGTGCGCTGCCTGCAGTCGACTGATCGCGGTGGACGGTGCGCTGCGTGCAGTCGACCGATCGCGGTGGATGGTGCGCTGCCTGCAGCCTACCGATCGCGGTGACTGGTGCGCTGCCTGCAGTCGACCGATCGCGGTGGACGGTGCGCTGCCTGCAGCCTACCGATCGCGGTGACTGGTGCGCTGCCTGCAGTCGACCGATCGTGGTGGACGGTGTCGCTGCGTGCACCGACCGATCGCGGTGATGGTGGAGCTGCTGCAGGTCGACCGATTGGGTGCGCTGCCTGCAGTCGACCGATTGCGGTGGACTGGTGCGCTGCGTGCAGTCGACCGATTGCGGTGGACGGTGCGCTGCGTGCAGTCGAACTGATCGTGGAGAGGTGCGCTGCGTGCAGTCGACCGATGCGGTGGACGTGCGCTGCGTGCAGTCACCGATCGTGGTGGACGGTGCGCTGCGTGCAGTCGCGACCGATCGCGGTGGACGGGCGCTGCGTGCAGTCAACTGCGTGGTGGACGGTGCGCTGCGTGCAGTCGGCCGATCGTGGTGGACGGTGCGCTGCGTGCAGTCGACCGATCGTGGTGGCGCGGCCGAAAAACGGCACATAGATGGCCTTGCTAAACCATTCCCGCCACCAAAATGGCGTTGAACAGCGTCTGGAAAGGCGGCGCATGCGCAGTCTGCCACGGGCGAGCCGCGGCGCTTGACGGATGGGATCCACGACTGCCTAGATGCCTATCGTCCCTCGGTTCCGTCCCGGCAGTGTCCCACCCGCCCCCAAGGGTTTCATCACTTAGCATATCCGGGCGGCCGCAAACCTCGTGACCTTGAGTGATGCTGCTCCCCGGGCGCCCGGCGACCTTTAATGCTTCTCTCAGCGTGCCGGGTATGGTGCTAATCTGCTGACACCGGTCTCAGAGACAACCGGTCTCAGCGGACCAGTGTGCGGCTTGTCCGCCCTTAACACTCAGCACGCAATACCTTTACTGTAGGTTCCACGTGTTTCTCGCACGAAGGTCACGTAGGCTTATGTCCATTGCGTGCTTTTAATTGTGTCAACGTTTGAATCTGGTTGTGAACTAAACTTACGGCACGAGCAAACGCATCTTACACACCCAGCAAGCCAACTTCCGAATGATGGACTTCCGTGTATCCGTGTCCGTTGTCTGTTTATCACGTGTGGAACGTCGCTCCCTCGTTGACACATTTCTGGACGATCGCGTGGCGCCTATGCCTCTGGGTTCTCGCTCCTGCCAATAGCCGGGTCCCCTACCGCGCCCCTGTTGCTCACGTCTTCCCGTGTCGTGCCGCCGTCCGTCCCTCCGTCCGTGTCCGGTCTGGCGGGCACGCCGCGTTCGGCAGCGGCCCGCCACGTGACGACGTCGGCCTCCGCCGCCCGTGGCCTCGGGCCGTATCGGGTGTCCGGTCGGCCACGTCCGCCGCCACGGCGCAGCCGGCACGGCCCGGCACGGTCGCCGCCGCCGCTTCCGCTGCCGCCGCCCGCTCGGGGCGGACGCGAACGTAAACGGTGCCGGCCGGCGCACGGCGTCGATTCGCCGAGGACGTCCCCCCGGCGCGTGCCGCGGAGATCAAGGTCACACCGCATTGACCCCGTCCGGAGGGGAGGGGGAGAGGTGAGGTCAACGGCTGACTAGAGGCTGCCATGGCGGGCGGTTGTGCGGATAGAGGCGTCCGGAGGCTGCTGGACTGGGTACAGCTCAGTTGATGTTTTCTGACACTGCGACGCTGCTGAGAACAACATGTTGTGCAATGCGTGGTGCATCGCGGTTTGCGTCATCGTATTGCGTTCCGTTCAAGGCATAAGCTACGAGAGACAAACACGGTTTACGTTTTGGAGACGCTGTTATTATTTATTTGATGCAGCAGATGGTCTTCATAACTCGTGCTTTTACGTTCGCGGAACACACCACGGATATTTATTCTATCAAAACCCAGGCTAGGGCGCAAGTGCATTCATTGCATTCCGCAAACACGCTGCCGTATTGCAAAACATGTGGTAAACATGCATGAATACAAGTATGAAGATTGGAAAGAAAGCAAGGAAGAGGCACAGATACAGAGAGAGAGAGAGGGGGGGGGAGGGAGGAAAAGCGCGACGGAGCGAGAAAGGGGGGGGAGCAAGAGAACAATAGAAGAAGGAAGTAAAAGATCAGAGAAGTAGAGAAGGGAGCAAAGAGAGGGAAGTAAGATAGGAAGAGTGGCAGATGAAGCGCACGCAGCCTGAGATCGGTGGGTGGGCAGACGCAGCCTGAGATCGGCTTCGAAGCAGACACAGCCTGAGCTGAGTGTCAAAGCGGACACAGCCTGATCTCGATGCCGGAGCAGGCGTCTGTGTGATTGGCGCAGGGCTGCATAGGCTGAGTGACGCGATGCAAACAGCTCGCTTCGTATTGCGCCTAACCGCGGCTGCAGCCGCCTGGGCTGGGAGTACGGTGACGCCGCCGGTTGCACGCCTCGGCGAATCTGGGCTGGGAGTACGGTGACGCCGCTGGTAGCACGCCTCGGTCGGCAGCGGCCACCGGGTGTCGATGGCCGGCTGGTGTGTTTTGGCGCCCGTGGGCCGCCAGTCACGCGGACACCTGATCGCGTTTGTTGAGCTCGTGCTGCACACAGCCGCTGCTGTTGGCACTGGCCGCCATGGTAACACAGCCCGCATACTGGTGGCCATTCTAAGCCCATTTTTGCTTGATTAATTGGAGTGAGTAATTGCCCACGTGCTGATATGTACAAGGGACTTGACGAGTTCACGATATTATAAATCATTCGTGACTGAACACCCCGGAACGCACGGATCCATTTGTGCGTTTGCTGATACCCGACGACCCCAGCTGACTGTGTGGAATCGTTTAGGCCGTCATGAGAGGGATTTGTTAAGTAGACACATCAGATGTGCATCACGTACTAGCTTGGGAGAACTTGGCATGGCGGGCAAGGTTGGTAACACGGACGCTTGTCTGGATGTTGTCTTATGCTGCCACCTGACTAACGCTCATCATTTTCTTGTAAGCAGATTTTTTTCTGTTAAGTAAAGGAGTCACTTGGGTCTCACCTATGTCGTTACATCTACCCAATCAACATGCACCCACACTGTCAACATATACACACATTGTAACGTACACAAACACCGACCTAACGTCACACACTATGACATACACGATCGACACGTACGTCGATAGCGTAGGTCACAGTGTGTAATGTTAACGATGTTTTCTGTTTGGCTGGAGGGCGATCTGTTTTGCCAGGCCAAAACAGCAGCGAGTGCTATCCCATGAGAAGTGCATTGTTGTTTGCATGCTCGTGTTTTGTGCTGCTTGCTTTATGTGTCATTTCCCGACACGAAATGTAGAACCAGATATTGCATTTGAGAATGAGAAGATGATGTATCCAAAACGCTAAACCGCGAATATATGAGAAGATGACAGATTCTCCAGGTGAGCTACTTTTTAATGTAACACGTGATATCAAAAGCGACGTTCGAAAGATTGAAAGAAACTTTTCCGACGGCCGACTAAAGCACAAAATGGCTGTGCCTTCAATGGCTTGCATGTATGTATATATATATATGTATATATATATATATATATATATATATATATATATATATATATATATATATATATATATATATATATGCTCTCACATTGCACATAAATTGATACATTTTCTGCTTGGACAGCTTCCTTAGTATTTTTCCATCTTTTCAACATCTCTTTTGGCGACCTCTGTCAGATTAAAAAGTAGTTCACAAATAGAAATGTATCGTCTTAGATGCATAGTCGCCACGTAATGTTTTGTATACATCCTTCATCCATGGGTCTACCGATTCTCAAAAACGATATCGGTATCCTCAGTTCATAACAAAAAAGCGGCGCACTTAAAATTGGAGCATAGAACACGAACATACAAACATCCATCGACCTGTCATTGGCTAAGGCTGTTCTCTTGGCTTGGCAAGCAAAACTCACTGCATAATCACGCAGAAGACATCAACATCGCTCACATCGACGTACACACTCAGCACAACAAATCACACCATTGCATATCACTGACCCAATCCCCACGTGGTTGCGTTGATTCCATGTTACTTGTCTGTGATTTCTCTAAAGAGCTTATTCAAAAGTTTGATTTAGTTATCTGCTTAGTATTGATACGAGGCCATAAATAAGTACCTTACAGCTTCATAGTGGTGATTTTTTGTGCCATGTGCAAACATTAAAATTTCAGTATGCAAGGAGTATTTTGCGCTTGAGACAGGCACTGTGGCTGCGTTACACGTGGTCTCGTCGTGCCCGTTCTGTGAAGTGATGTGCCCTTTCGTGGCCGGATTAACATACCGCCTGGACTGGTACTGAAAACCTTGTGGAAAAGCCCGGTACCTATAGTAGTATTTCTTGCACATAGGTGGCAGGACACGCCCAGGCCGGGCGTCACGGCAAAGAGAAAGTGAACAGTCGACGGCATAGCCAGCTGCAAGTTGTGCGGACAGCGGTAACATGCCGACCTAGAAGCTCTGAATGAAGCGCCGGTCAAGAATGGCTTTGCTGATTAACTACTCATGGATTGTGGCAGTGCTCCTCGTCTTCAGCCTAACGCGTGAGTATTCTAGCCTCGCTGAGGCAGATGGATTGTCTTTGGACTCCTTGTGAAGAAGAGCTTGCAACGCTATTCAGGGGTATCTAGCATGATTTTCTCACGGATTTGTTATGTTTATAATTTTTTTTGGTCCGGCGTGTGCTTGCGTCGGCACCAGACTTTGTAGTGGCTTGTTGGTGCCACTGCGATTGAAAGAGTACACTGTGCTCCAACATATGTATCTCACACAACTTTTGACCCACATGGAATATTTCGGTAGCTGTTCACTAATTGTTTTCTTTCTTTGCTCTCCATATCTCGAAGCAATGCCAAGGTGTGTATCGTGCGTCATCCCTAAGGATACCCCGCTCCACCTCTCTGTCACGATCTCCGAGGTTGACCTTGGTGCTGTCCGAGAGCGTATCATGACAAGGATGCGGAAATCGGGCGTGGTGGACGGACAAACCCGCCGGCCTCAGAGCCGCTGACCTCAGAGCCACTGGTCTCGGAGCCGCTAGACTTAGAGCTCCGAAACCCTAAACGGCGGCTCGGACCACCATGCATCTGCGGTGTCGTCGTGAAGGCGTTAGTCAGCGCCATGAATCACTCTTTCCGTTTGATACATTATGCTTACGGTAAAACTAACAGTCACGTGGTTGCACAATGTAGCTAACGCATACGACGCCTTTCCAGTCTGCTTTCCTAACTGATGGGCCCGCATGTCACGCCAACACGTGACGCATGTGGCATGGCTGGCCCAGCAGCATGTGGCATGGCTGGCCCAGCAGCATGCACGCCAACTTCAATGCTATAATCACAATTGCGTTATTTCCCCTTGGAAAAAGCCGCTCTGGAGGCTCTGCCGCACCATCGTTTCTCAACATCCTCCATTGTCGGTCACGTCTTCGGTGACTGCCGCCGACGCCGGATGGTTCTGAACGGCTTGAACGGCACGCGTCGTCGGCGGTAGCCTCATGTGCGTGCGTACAGTCTGTGGAGACTGCAACGTCTCTGCACGCAAGCAACACCAAGTTCGGCCGAAGGGTAGGGCCTCGAACTGAACGGCCGGGAGGAAAGTATGAAATGCTAATGACAAGTGTAGTGCCGTTGTAGCCTAGACCTGAATTTTTTCAGCACTGGATGGCCCTAGAGCAGAAAGAAGTAGTTTAGTTTTGGTTCCAACTCTACCGCAAAAACTATGGGGCGAAGGTCTAAAGAAAATGAATAAATCAAGCTGATGGCTGGAGGTTATAGCAAATGATGCCGCTCACTCGGAAAATTGGCTACCAGTACAATAGAATAAATAGATTTGATTTATTTTTGTCAATGAATCAGACTTAATATTGAATTTGCTCATTAAGCTGTTGTACAGCAGCCAACACTACTTGTCCATTTCGGCTTTTCATATGGAATATCTATTTCCGGGCACCGTATGATACATTCTGGCATACTTGTTTCAAATTCATTGCCAAGATGTTATAATCCCGATCCCGATCCCAAAAGGGGATTAAGACATACAGCTTAGCATCTTAAAAGCTGGGAAAATGTCTAGCTATGGCAGGGTACAGGTTTTGAGCTACATCCAGCTCGTTTCTTTTATCTTACCTTAGTAAAAGCTTTGATTCTGAAGCTTTTACTGATAAGTTGCACCAGTGTGATCAGAATGCCGGTTCTATCAGTGTACTGACGTTACAGGTGGACCAATCGATATAATTTGTTTGTGCTGTGACCTATTTTTCCCTCTGCAGCCTCCTTCATTTGGTGAAGCGACCTCCTCAGAACTTTGTCAGACCAAACCGTAAACTCAGAATATTTGTGCCAATTTTCGGCACTTCGGAATAGTCCGCGAACATCGATTCGAAAAGGACTGAACGTGGATTCAATCCGACTGACACCGACGCCGCTGACACTTAGTCGTGCCGCCTCGCAGATTCGAGTCACGCGTTAACGGTGGAAGCGCCGTTCTCCTGGAAGGGGCTGCGCGGCTCTGTGTCACTGGAGCAGGAGAGCCCCGACCACAACGTTACCATCACCGTCGATGTCACCGTCATGGAGGAGGAGGCCAATGGCACGTACCGGCTGCAGGTCAACCAGTTCCCGGTGGACTACAGCCGAGACGACTACTGCGCCTCAGCTCACCTGGGCAAGCGGTAAGTACCGTCTCGGCTCACCGGGGAAAGCGGTGAGTGACGTATCAGCTCACCTTGGCAATCGGTGAGCGCCGCCTTATCTCACCTCGGCAAGCGGTGAGTGCCGTCTCAGCTCACATCGCCTAGCGGCGAGTGACGTCTCAGAGCAAGTGGTGATGACTTGGAGAAGCTAGCACATACCGTGGTTTGAAACAAATACAGGCTATTTGAGCAGTAATATTGGCGGTGTTGCTCGTTGATGGATGAAAACATCTCTGTAAAAATAAAGATTCATTGTCATTTCGGCCACAAACTTTTGTCGATGCAGTACATGAATGAGCTGTGAGTTCCAGACTGCCATGGCTGGTTGGAATTCACTGCACATCCGGAAAAGAGTTCGAAAAAGATTGGTGTCCGAACTATCAGTGTTTCTTTATGTTTAGCCTTGTCTTTTCGATCAACGAGGAATAAGGTAAATGACATTGCTCTTATGCATATGATCTCCTCTTACCTGCACTGAACAGCTTACGCGAAGTTTTGAGCTTTAAGGGAGTGTTCCAAATTTATATGGGGTTTTGAACTGGAATAGCCATATTGAAGACCTTTCTATGCTGTTCACAATCCTGTCCTTTTTAACCGGCGCTCGGGTGGGGGTCAAATTGACCCCCAAAGGGTTTTCTGGAATGGTGTCCGAACATCGCGGCGTGGCCGCACAAAATTTTGCGTAGTTGTAGAAAATTAAATAGCGGATCGTTTGGTCGCAACAATTTGGGTGAACCTTGTAAGGTCACTGACTTACGGCAGGCTAAATTCAGGCTATGGATTCAGCGATGTCAATTTCTAGGCAATAGTTCAATCTGATGCACAACGGAGTATTGGACGAAGTCACATATCTCTGAAATACTTTTTAGGCAGCACAACACGTCAAGGAACAAATTTATTTGACCTAGGGTCAGGTATGAAGGTCAGACCAAGGTCAACATAAGCCTGTTTTATTACTCTAGGGCTTGCTGTGCGGATAGTTTCTGGTGTTCATTTCAAGTTTATTGATAACAGGAACCGCATTGTACACCTTCCATGTACTTCCTTAAGGTCAGAATAGATCGCTGATGTGAATTTACTCTGGTCAACATTTTGTTTTAGGAAGATGCTGCCCGATGCAATATTCACCACTTATTCAAATGTAAAACTCAAAGGCAGCCTTGTCTGATTTTGGTCACCATGATCTTTAAAAGGTCAAACGAGGCCAATGACCTTAAATGAGGCCGTGACCTTTTGCTTAGAGCAGTGTTCTAGGTTCTGAGGGCACGTAAGAGACCATTCTGGAGTTTGACTTTGTTTGACCTTATTCGACACAAAGGACATGACCTAGGAACCTCAAACTTCGAGCTAAGTGCGTTCACGTACAGGCTAATACACTCGCTGGATTTGGTGTCTCTAGCTCTCTTAGTTCGTAAGATCTTAGCTGGTCAAAGTGACCTCAGACTAACATTAGACCAGTAAGAGTTAGCGATAGCTATGGCCAATTCCATCACATTATGTTAAATTACATTACCAGTTGCAGTACATCACCCGTCGCCCTTGTGACCACGAGAACGACCGCGTCGTACATGGGAGAAACTAGACGTGGCGGCGTCAGACAAAGATTCAATGAGCATCTACCTGAATGGCACCACGAAGTGGAGGAGACAGCGCTAGGAGACCACATGGCAATCTGCCACTTGAGCAAGCAAGCTGACAATGGCAGATTGAGTTCAGGATCTCGCTGTCCATCGCAAATAACTGTCGCACTTTACGTGTCTCTGTAACATGTTGGTTCATTATGTACTTGACCATGGCAGGCACTTGCCTTGACCATTATAGGCAATGAGCGTCACTTGTGACTCAAGTAATCAAGATGCCCTTCATACAGCAGGCTATCCACGAATTACACATGTCAAGTTATGTTGTTATTTGGTTTGTGTTTGGAGCTTTTTAGCAGTGGGCATTCATTTATTTTTAGCATGGAATGAGGGCACTGGAGTGGGAATAAATCTGCCCCACCAGCCCGTTGTCGTTAAGTTCCTGACAGCCAGAAGCTTCCAGAAACAAGTTTTTGGTGAATCTTCAAACAACAAGGCGTTGCTAAAACTAGAACTCAACCGAATCTGTTAGTAACTGTTCAGTTACAGCCTGACAACGTCGGAGCGGCCGTTGACCGCAATCGCTGGCCGACCTCACCGACGAAAGGGTCCTCGCGGTGCGGCGAGCCCACCTTGAACAGAGGCATGTGCTAATGGAACCATGTCCACTGATACCGATCTAGAAAAGGTTCATGACTGAGCGCATTCCTCGCTTAGATCGACCTTCCAACCCGCAATGGCAGGTAGTTACCCATCGCCGAAGGCTGGCGCAACACCACGAAGGAACATGACATGCGTCTGTATGTGACTTCACATGTGTTCGTGAACCTGTGACAAACCTCATCATCCATCAGAAGCAGCTGTGTCAGGAAAGTAGCGTTATCGATATACCCAGTTTGCCCTCCACTTGATCTACCGATGGCCATGGTTTAAATGCAGCCGTGTGTGACCCCAGTCGCCAGCAGTTACGCCATAAACATATATAGATGCCCTCGTAATGGTGCTGATGTCTCTGGTATCGAACATTTATTTTCCATTTGTGGCTGCTGACCGACATGCCCTTCGTGGTGCTGCTCACGTCTGACTGCAAGCTGCTTAGCCTAGGGCTGGCATAGGCTGGTATGTGAAACATCAACACCCAGACAGCATTCTCAGAGCGTTGTGTGGCGTTAACAATAACGGGGAGGATGGTAATGGTTGAGGGATCCTCCCTCCATCCGCTGTCCAGGCCGTGCCACTCTGGAGGGCCCTCCAGGCCGCGTACTGACATCCGGTGTGCTTCCAGGTTCAATAAGCTAGCAGGCCTGGATGACATTGAGCTTCCTTCGGACGGCGTGGTTACCATGGAAACAGATGAGATCAGCCTGTTTGGCGCCGACACTCCGTTGGGCCGCAGCATCTCGCTAGACGGGCCCAGAACTGTCTGCTCCACGATACAGGTGCGGCGACGCGCTTACCTGCATACGGTGGGGAGTGTGCGGACGCGAGAACTCCGCCCATTGCATTGTTACTGTGTTTGTTCTGGGGTTCGCAGCACAACTCATCTCTCGGACCGCGTCAGGTCATAGTATGGTCCTGCAAGTCAGAACAAGGTCAAAACAAGGCCTGCAAGGTCAAAGCCTCAGCTATCTCCGCGAAGGTGCCGCCTTGTCTCTGCTGCCTACCTTAGCAGGCCCCGTAAAAGCATAAGGCAGCCATGGCCCACGCAGCTCAATGTCCGTCCGCTGCTCTGGCAGGCGCCCTCCCTGGAGTACCTGGTGGCGGAGGCTCGCTTCCAGACGCCCGTGGCGGGCACCGTGTTCTTCCGCCAGTACCGCATCAACGGCACGCAGCACACCGGCGTGCTGACAGACATCGCCCACTCGGGCAGCACCAAGCCCACCTCGTCGGAGCACAGCTGGAGCATCATGGTCACGGACGTCCTTGACACTGCTAGCGGTACGGTCAATCCTGTCCTGTTGCGTTAACATGTTCTGGATGCTGACAGTCTGGCGCACGTTGTGATCTACAGAACCTTTCCCTACACGCTAAAATGTCTAAAACACTGCATGCCATGCTAATGTGTTAAGCCCTGCATGTCATCACCCCGGTCATTTTAATGGTCTAAATACGCAAATTGGACCTTGCCACCCATTTAACCTGCGCCCTGTAGGGGGTCTGAAACAACCGCGTTCATCCGGTGGAGAAGTTGACGTCCCCGTGGGATCTCCAACTTCCAGACGCAGTATGAGAAAAACAGACATTGTTTTGAAGGTCTCATCAAATCATGAATACTTTATACGAAAAATATTTAACCCTAGGCCATATAAATTTATTAAAGGTCAAGAAAGGTCGAATGCGGTCGTTCCGATAGCTGCAGTTAAAACCTACGTTAACACGCGCCCGGTGGGGGACAATTTGATCCCCGAAGGTTTTTCCGGAATGATCTCATATACAAACACCAAAACTACAGGCTAAAACGTACAAATTTGCACAATTTGCGAAAAATAGCAAAAATTGGCCTTTCCGAACAGCATACGATACACAAACTGTAGGTAATCCCATACTTTGGTACTGTAACAAGTTTGCGCAATGGAAAATGACCCACAAAAAGTTACGTCTGATTAAATACTTTTAGTTGTTGACCCCTTTGTCCTGACCTAGATCATTGATTGTGGTAGACCAAAATCTCAAGTTTGCACAAACAATGCCAAGTTGATAGACATAGAGGTACTGAAAATTTCGTGTAGCAGCGAGCGTTCATTTTGTACTGGTGCTTGAAAGACAGTAGGGGAAATCGAGTCCCCAGCCGGGCGCGCGTTAATCGTCCGATGTATCGCCCATGAGACATTTGAAGATCTTGGATGCTGCCTGCATGACTTTCCAATATTGCATGGGAAGTTTGTGATACGCTTAAATTGCCCAAACTTTGTGCGACATGTTTGAATGTCCAGGACAACGTTAACCGTGCACCAATCGTAAATATATGTATTTGCTAGTAAAGCCATCAATCTCAAGTGCATTATGCGTTGAGTAATGTCTGGATATAATGCCGAAGCCTTCTTTAACAATCAGGTCACTTGTTTGTTTGTTCTGCTCACTTGTTTGTTCTGCGTTGAGCCCGATTCTCTGCCGCTGCCAGATGAGATGCGAGGCTCGTGCAACTTCCTTCAGCTGGTGTACGACCCGACCAGCGCTGACGCTGCCCGCTGCAGCGACGACACGCCACAGTTCTGCAAGGCCGGTGACCTGCTGCACCGACTCGGCAAGGTCAAGGTCACCGGTCGAAGGTCGCGCTTCTCCAAGCAGTTCTGGTCTTCGGACACGCTGGAGCTCCCGCCGCTCAACGGCTACCGCAGCGCGTACCTGGTGCTGTACGAGGAGGCGTACCCGGACTCGATCCTGGCCTGCGCCAAGCTGCGGCTAGTGCGGCCGCGCACTGCCCGCGCCTTCCTCTCCTACGACGGCGTGCGCGGCGTGGTCGGCCTGAGCCAGCGGTCGCGCTTCGAGCCCACCCAGCTGCTGCTGAACATCAGCGGGCTGGCCGGCCGCGCCGCCACCTTCGGCATCCACACGCTGCCCGTGCCGCCGCGCGACGGTCGAGACGCGTCCCCGTGCGCTCGCGTCGCGAACGTCTACAACCCGACCGAGGTGGACGCGGCGCTGACGGAGCCGGCCGGCGCCGCCACGCACGACCAGTACCCGCTGGGAGACATCAGTGGCAAGCACGGCCGTCTCACCGGCCTGGACAGCTTCGAGTCGGCCGTGACGGACTTCCGGCTGCCGCTGTGGGGGCCGCGCTCCGTGGTGGGCCGCTCGCTCGTGTTCACCACCGCCGAGGAGGAGGAAAAGGAGCAGGGGGCACCGAACAAGCCGTGGATCTGTGCCAACCTGCAGGACACGCGCAAAATGGTGACGGCGGCGGCCGTGTTCCGCTTTCCGCTGGGCGGTCGGGTTCTCTTCTACCAGCCGGAGGACGAGCCCGAGGAGGACACCACCGTGCTGGTGGAGGGTCTGCTCTTCAACGACGGCTCGATGAACGGCTCGGACTGGCACCGCTGGTACGTCAACGAGCTGGTGCCCGGCGCCGACTTCCGCAACTGGAGCGGCCGCTGTCTCAGCGCCGGCGACCACTTCAACCCCTACTCGGTGAGGACGAGAGCGGCACGCGCTGCGCCAAGCGGTGTGGCTGGTGTGGAATCGTGTTTTACTTAATCATGTATTCTTTTGAAAACGCGTCACATCTGCGACAAGGAAATTGGTATTCACTACATCATACCCTTCTCTGCCCTGAGTTGACGTTTGACAACGGACCAAGCTAATTGCTGACAGACAGGCCCCCGGACCCGCTAGGAAACATATCCCGTTACCGCGCATACGCCAGGCCCCCGTCTAATCTGTAGAGCATGCCAGTCTCCACTGCCCTGTTTGACTGGAACGTGTGGTTCGTCACAACATGCTCGGCCTATCCGGCAGGTGAACGTGAAGTCGCGCCTGTACGACCGCTCGTGCGGTCCGGAGGACATGGGCAACTGCGAGGTGGCAGACATGGTCGGCAAGCACGGCACGCTCAAGCTGGCGGCGCTCCGACGCAAACTCAACGAGTAGGGACGAGTGTTCAGCCCCCTTCCCCGTCCGAGGAGCTCTGTTGTTCGCACTGGTGCCTTCTGTGAATTTGGATCTCCTTACAGCGTTTTTGACCCAGATCATGGTCTTGCCCCATTCAAAGTCTGGGCTGTTTAATCCGTCGAAGTTGTGGTGCTAGGCTTGATGGTCTGGAATCAGCATCGTCTGGTGACGTTCAGAAGTTATGCTGTTGGGAAGTGTGACGTCATTTTATGTCTTGTGCACCATTTTTTAAAATGCACGCCTGACATCTCAAAACCGCTCTTGCATTTTGGACCTGCGACACCATAGCACACGACCAACAACTCACGCCCGTCGCAGCATTACCCGTAACGTGCCGAGTTTGTGCGGTCGGCAGAACTCGGCGGATGTGGACGGACACAAACCTGCCGCTCTCCGGGGCCAGCTCCATCATCGGTCACAGCCTCGTCATCCATGACGACAACGGCCCGCGGGCCCGCGGGGACCGCCTGGCTTGCGTCGAGTAAGTGGCTGGTCCGGCCCCCGCGCCGGCTGTACGCCCGTCCACGGCGTGGCTGCCCCTCCCCCCCCCCCCCCCTACGGCGTGTCGTACCGTGCACTGCCGTGCCAACGGTGCGCTCGCCCGCGGTGTGGCTGCCCCCCCCCCCCCCCCATGCCGACAATGCGCCCGCCCGAGATGTGGGTAGGCATCATGGTTATGGCATCGCTGAAATCCCTCGATTTAAGTTTTACGCAAATAATGGTGCGATCAAGCATTAACATGCTGAGCTGAACCACTCACGCACTTATGGTCACAAGCATTGCTGCTGAATAAGTGGATATGCTAAGATATCAGGTATAAATGCCTTTGGTACCCGACTTTCCTTTCAGCTCTCATTCCCACCGCGCTCACCGACTGTTGTCTCCGTGCCACGTGATGACAGAGGGCTATCAAAAAGCACTGAGCTTGATTTTCTTTTCAGGATCATACGACTATTCCGGTATAAAGGAGTGGTTAAGGAATGGGCCTACAACGGAGATAAGAAAGGTGCCATCTCCGGCAAGGTTGAGTTCATCCAGGAGTCTCCGTACAGCATCACCAACACGGAGACGGATCTGATGGGTCTGGAAGGCATCGCCGGAGGCTATCACATACACCTGGTGAGATGGTCGCTGCTCATTCACAGACCAGTGCTTCTCCGCGGCCCAGCACAGCCTGAGTACAGTTAGACACGTGGCATGTGTGCCGTTGGCACATAACGACGCACTCAGCTGCTGAGGCTATATGACGCCGCCTGCCTCTCACCCCGGCAGGAAGGGCGGGGACCGCATGGAATCGAATCCCGTTCGTCTGGTCTCCCAGACGCGCAGCTTAACTACGACACTGTCGGTAACCCGTAACACTGTCGGTAACCCGTAACGTTATACAGGTGTTTGCATTGTGATATGGTTCTCGAGGTCTCATTTATGTCTGTGGATACCTCTGCTATAATATAAGCAGTACGGCCACATACCACCACAAGCGCACGTTTTGAGAGACGTGAACCCCCAGTCGCTGAGCTGACGTTATACCTGCCGCCATCCTCAGGTTCCAGTACACCGGGACAACGAGTTCCCGTGTCACAATATTGCTCTGGGCGGTCATTACAACCCATACAAGCTGAACCCGGCTACTTCCCCGCCGGCGGGGTACGGTTCCAGTGACCAGTACGAGGTGAGTGCGAGGTACGAGGTACGTGGTGAGTACTAGGCTGGACCTCGTCTGACCCGCTGACTGGACGCCGTTGGATGATGCGACATTCGGGACAGGTGACGGCGCTCTTGGCTGGTTCTTTTCATTTCGCTTAAAGCATTTAGGGTCGACGTTCTGGCGTAACTACATGCGTAGTCAACGGTCAGCGGTCATTGCTCAGCGGACAACAGTCAGCGGTGGGTGGTCAGCGGTCAGCGGTCAACAGTCAAGCATCAGTAGTCAGCAGTCAGTGGTGAGTGATCAGCGGTCAACGCTCAGTAGTCAGCGACCAGCGGAAGCGCTGACTGTCCTGCGCTTCACAGATGGGCGACATGAGCGGAAAGTACGGCATGCTCACCAACCAGTCGGCGGTGGAGAGATTCAACAACGACACGAACCTGCAGCTCTTCGGGCCGCAGACGGTGCTCGGTCGGAGTGTGGTCATCCACCGCGCCGGCGACAACTCACGGTGTGTCATTCGGCTTAACTCGGTCTGGCGACTGGCACTCATTGCAGTCCGCAGTGATGTGGCCTGTCATTAACTCACGAGCCATTTGTCATGCTGCGCCGTTTGTCATTCATGCATCTCATGATATTTGAATCATAGCAACTTAGAATGTTCATAATCAATACGTAATAACTTCAGCACGACGAAAATATTGTATTAATAATAAATTAGGGTATTGGATTACTTGCAACATTCCTCACATAGCGTACCATTAGTTTAGACGTGTGCTATTCATCACAACTCAATGTATGACATGCAACATAAATGACATGCAACATAACTCACAGCAGCATTCATCGCAAGTCATGTGGGTGATTGATCGCAACTTTCGGCACGTCAGTCGTCACTCAACACAGTTAGCGGCATGCTGTTCACCACAATTCGGTACGCGCTGTTTATTACAGCTCGTTAAACTCACATCAATAATCGCACGCATCAGCACGTTATTCATCATTACTCTCAGCATTCTATTCATCACAGCTCGCAGTGCGACTCTCCTTTCGGAGCTCCAGTGTGCCCCTCTCCGTATCTAGCATCCGTTGTCACAACCAACAGCATGTCTGTCAACGGCGAGCTGACAATGCCAGGCGGCGGCGAGCGTACCCGCGGGCCGGGCAGAAACACACCGATTGGATGGGATTTTCTAGATCGGCGTCAGCTTCGTGACATTCGCTGGCCCCGTGTGACGAGTGACGGCCACTTTGGGCAGTCTCAAATCGCGTCCTCCAACTCTATTTAGTGAAATGATGCGTATTTCAGGTGCGTTTCCCTTTCACTTACCACACGTCCGAGTTCATTGCCCGGCCTTTCAATCACGGCTTGGCGTTAATAGACAGTTCGTTCATTCCGTCTGAAAGGCGGGCGCGCAGGCCTGCCTCTCCACAGCCTGTTTGTGTTAAGCGACGTTTCAGACCTGCCAGCCTGCCTGACCTCAGACCTGCCCTCTTTCACGAGGGACGAATTCATCGTGTTGGGCAAGATCAATATTCGGTAGATGGGAAGTTTGCCCTCTTTGTTTGCTGCCGAATCCAGCATCGGATGCAAACAAAGCCGTTTGATAAACTGTCAATAAGACAGAGTTGACGGGATGAAGGTCCTGAGATTTGACCTGGGCGGGAGATTGCTCTCACCCAATGCGTTTTTCGGTGTTCAGTATTGTTTGTTACACCTCAAACACTGATGTGGGCCCTGGTGATGGATGCGAACACATCGAAATTGCACAAAATACTCTGCGTGTAAAGTTATATTAAAGGCATGTTTAACAATGCAGCACATTGCTAACAATACACAAAGTAAGGGACAGTACGCTTACAAAAATATCCATAAGCAATACACCAATCGTGCCCTCCTTGCAGCAACAGTGCAACTACATTGACAAAAATGACTTCATTAACCCTTTCAAATCCACCCAATGTATTGTTAAGTTGTTCTACGGTGTTACACTCAGACCTCACAGTTATATTTACCCTGTTTCAATCTCGGATCGTTTTAGTAGACAATGAGGGATGATAAAGGAGACGAGGCTGCACACGGAAAATATTTGTTGAGTGATGCTGATAGTTCACGTGGTTTGTTCGAAGAAGAAAATTTCCCCCCACATATTGCTGTTCCCATTGCGGAATTGGAACAGCTGATCAAGTGTTCTTCGAGGGGAACGCCACTATTTCCGTCATCGTTGACAGTGCCTTTGCCTGTTGCACTCAGGTGGGCGTGTGGCAACATCCTGTGGGGCTACTCGTCATCAGAGGCGCGCCAGGTCACCGCCATCGCCTCCTTTCACCACCCCAAGGGCTACGCCTGGGGATACATACGCTTCGTAAGTGACGAGTTGTGATGTGACACGAGCATCCTCCTGACTCGTGTCTCCTCTCATTTGGCCGATTTTGTAAGGTGCTTACGTTTACAGTCAGCTTGACCAGGCGGATGTGGCTGACACACGATCCGCAGGTTCACTACCTTGCATGTAAAGCAGCAAGGGCTAGTTTTAACTAGAACAAACCACAGCTGCTCACTATGTGCATTCAGCTAATCCATGTCTGAGTATGCTCATGGAGTGATTACCAGTCGCTTACCTCGCTGTGACATTTTTATTGACTGTGTACATCGTAGCAAATTTTGTCTAATGAGACGACGCCATAGACCGTTTTGGGGGATGCATTTCGCCGTTTTTATTGAAGAAATTGCAACTCGTTTTCAAATACATCTTGTTAAAACTAGCACTTGATGGCTGCTGTGGAGGACCAGACTAGAGCTGTCGTGCTATAGGCGAGCGTCAATGGTCTCCCGTATGTGGGTGTGGCCATGACTGCCGCTGTGGCTGTGACCTTGGCGCTGTGGCCATGCCCTTGTAGCTATGGTCGTGACCTTGCAGCTATGGTCGTGACCTTGCGGCTGTGGCCGTGACCTTGCCGCTATGGGTGTGACCTTACGGCTGCGGTCGTGACCTTGCCGCTGTGGCTGTGACCTTGCCGCTGTGGCCATGCCCTTGCAGCTATGGTCGTGACCTTGCTGCTATGGGCGTGACCTTGCGGCTGTGGCCGTGACCTTGCCGCTAGTGGGCGTGACCTTGCGGCTGCGGTCGTGACCTTGCCGCTGTGGCTGTGACCTTGCCGCTGTGGCCATGCCTTGCAGCTATGGTCGTGACCTTGCTGCTATGGGCGTGACCTGCGGCTGTGGCCGTGACCTTGCCGTTATGGGAGTGACCTTGCGGTTACGGTCGTGACCTTGCCGTTGTGCCGCGGGCCGTCAGAGCCAGCTGGTATACCACACCGGAGGGCGCAGTGAGACGGTGATCGAGCTGAACCTGCGTCATCCGGGCGCCAATGACCGAAACGTCACCAGCAACCACAACTGGGCCATCTTTGTCAACCCGGTGGGCCACGACGCGGCAGTGCAGTTCTTCACGTCTCGCTGTACTGCTGGCGGCTACCGCTGGAACCCCGACTTCATCCACCTGGCCAACCCCAACGCCGTACGTAGCACAGCACTGGCTCCCACTGGCTCGTGTCGACGTGCGGCGCAGGCAAGTCTGTGACGGCCTCGCACGGCTCTTGGCCGATGTTCTCGCAGTGCGTAGTTCCAGGCTTAGGAGGTCATAGTGCCTCTTAATTCTGGCGCACTGGCGGTGTGTAAGGCAGCAGTGCAACTGGCACCGACGGCACGGGATGCATGCCCAGGTGCATCAGTAGTCAGTCCATCGTTTATTCATCATTGCTCATTGGCGGTTGCTGCCACTACTGTTTGTCAGGACGGGAGAATGAAAGAACCCGCTCCTTTAAAAAAC